CCGAGTTCAACCCTCCCAAACGGAGCTCAGAGAGGTTCAACACCTAGTCCGACATTTCGTAGCTGAAGAGGTCAAGCAAGGTTTAGAACTCCCATACGTTTCTCAGGCTTCTCTGCCCATCTTACCTCTCAATTTCATAAATTTAACCTTCTGTCCAAAAAGGGCAGAGTGGGCAGGAAAGTGAAAGACCTGCTTGTGGTCAATGATGCCATCACCCAGGCGTGTAACATTACATCAACTGTCTCATCCATAAACTCAGATTGAATTAAACCAGCTCTGAAGCCTCTTAGAGCTGTAATATATTCTGATCCTCAATGGTGACATAAGTAATAGTTGGGTACTTAAAACAAATCAGATGCTGTCCCATTCTTTATACCAAACTCTGTTGCAATTTAGGGAGTCCAAAGGCATTATTTTAACCGGAATACCACCTGTGTTTACCAAAAATGTCATAAGCAAAAAGAATCCTGGAATTCATTGTCTACATGACTACTATTACCTAAATTTTGGAAGAATGGCCTTTTGCACAAAATGTGAACTTCAATCTGAAACCAATTTGAATGTCTATTCAAATATCCCAAAGAGTGTGGGAAGTTTTACATTTCACATACCTTTTCCATTCAATGTGTAATATGCTTCGTAAACACGTTAAACTCTTTACAAAGAGTTTGCCCGAGCATGGAATTTTACAGACTACAATAGCCTTAAATGTCAGAGTTTTAAAACTTGTCTTTAGCTCTGGTCTGCCATTAGTAGGCTAAAAAGATGCCTGTGGTAACCATAGAATGTGACAGAGCTATCCACACCACGAACGGGGGGGGGAAAGCTGAAGAATGAGGAAGAAGAACAGAGGAAACAAAAAAGAACCCAAAAAGGAAAAAGGAAGGAAATCAAGAGAGTAAAGAAGTCAGGAAGGAAAGAGAATAAGCCAGCAGGAAGGGAATGGCCAAGAACCCTCGTCAGCACCCCAGGGCCTTGGTGCATCAGCACCCCACAAACTGTTCAGATGGACTCCAGACACATTTAAGTGCTTTTGTCTGTTTCCTTCTGTTTAGTTTTGGAGAGAAACTTTGCCCAGACAGGACATATTTACTTGCGCCTGTTCCTAGACTCCATGTCGAGAATTAGGAGGCATGCAACATGTGAAAAGTAACACAGAAAGTGCAACGATCCGAACCACACTGGACTGTCTACCTGGCATGTCCGGGACCTGGCATGTTCCTGATGAGTCACCTTCCCAGCACATGCACCTCTTAACTCCAGAAGAGCACAGTGGTCCAAAAACGTGTATTAGCAAGGAATATGTATATTCATAACATATGATTGCAATTCAGTGCTTTCAAACAACTGGTGATCTCCAAAAACAACAACAAAATACAGTCAGAAGGGGACATTTCCAGTTGGACTCCCTGGGCACGGCTACTCCAGCAATGTGGGCCCCTCCTCCACCCAGGGCTGGATGGGGGCCACCGGACACAGAACGAGCCCAGGATGCCACCATCACGTCCTCCACACAAGAGCAAATGCTCTTTAGCTATTATGTGGATAATCATATGGATAATCACTTTAAAAACCTTTTTAAAGTAAATCTGTTGTTGGGATATTCCTATTGTTTAGAATCGCAAAGGATCTTCATTCTGCAGATAACGTGAGTTGACTAAATTGGGTGTTGATTCATTTACCATATAAAAACCTTGTTCCGAACTGCTCAAGATCTATGACAAAGAGCAAACTCCTATGTACCTTTTCGGAAGAGTCAGATTAGTAGCAGAAGGAATCTTAATTCCTAACCCTTTAAAATTCAAGCAAAGGAGGATTTGGGTATCTTTTGCCATGAAAACAGGAGAAGTCTACAAATGCAGCAAGCATCATAAACTTTCACAAACTAAAAGGCATAAAGCAGAAAACACATTTCGGAGCTTATAAAAAGTAGGCATTATATAATTTTGAAATGCTAAAAAATAGAAAACAATGAAAAATATGTAATCTTTCTGGAAACATAAACAAAAAATTATATATTTTTAGAAAATGGACATTATGTGCAATGAGTGCCTGTTACATCAATATAAACACATGAAGTAAAACAATCGTCAGTGACCTTGACAAGGGGCAGATAAGAAGCTTGGTGTAGTCGTGAGCATTACAACAAGACTCAGCACTAACAAAAATTCCCCGAGAAATAGGAAGCAAGCACTCAAGGTCACAGGCCGTGTACAAATCTGCAAGAGAAAGATCTGAGGTAGCAGTTTTTATGAGTTGTTTAAGAACAAACAAAAGTATTAGGCATGTTCCCAGAAACTCCCCTAGTTGTGAAAATACCATCAAGAAAAGGATGCTTTAGAAGCCCAGCTCCTCCATCACGGAGATGAAAAGCAGCAGCATCTTCCAGACACGGGGTCAACAAGCTCTCCAAAGGGGAGTGCTCGGGTTAAACTTTGGGTCTCCTGAGGCAGACAGCGCAAGAACGGTGAAGAGTGCCTCTGAGACCCACCCCAAACTCCTGAAGGAAGGAAAAAGCAGGCCAGCCAGCCCGCCGACAGTCTAATTAAGGAGTCCTGGATCTCCTGATCTTGGGGTTCGAGCAGCACTCCACACTGAGCCTGGTCTTGCTTAACAGGTATCCTTCAAAAAGCTCAAGTACTCCTGGTCGGGATTTACAATCATATCGTGACGTGAACAAATTCAATCGTAGTGCCTTAGGGCCAGAAACTCACTAACCTTATTTTACCGACGAGCAGCCTCTGGCACAGACTGGGACACTCTCCCACGATTCAGCAGCTCGTGGGAACCGGAATCCAGTGGGAAGCACGGAAAGCACTAGAACAGTATCCAAAAAGGCAGGTACCCACCAGTCATTATTATAAACACTCTTCTGCCTCAGTACTCTTTCCGCCAAACTAAAGATCAACCGCAGCACAGAGGGCTTCTGACAGGGAAAGGAAGCAGCAAATGTGGAGGCAGGATCGACTATAAAGGAAATCCACAGGGAGGTTTGGCCCGCCAGAAGCCAGAAGCCTGGCTGTAAGAGAAACAGAAGTATCAGAAGCTGGAAGAAAGGACCCCCAGGAGACACAGGAGGACAAAGATGTTGTCAAGTGCTAGTACGATTACATCCAAGAAAAGTGTCTTAACTCTCTAAAGCACAAGAGGCCTTAAAAGGTCCTGGGGAAGGGGGGGGGGACCTCAGGAAAGACAGCAGAGGGGATCACACAGCAAACCTCCCTCCCTCTGGCTTCCCAGTGGAAACTGGCCCGTGGGCCACCCCCAGCACTCTTGTCACACAGATGGCAAACCCTTGTTTGCTAAAGAACTCGAAACAGCTTCAAGATTTAGTTACAAAGATTATGTCACAGATATTTGAGTCAAGAAATGATTGCAGCCCCGGCCAGCGTGGTTCAGTTGGTTGCAGTGTCATACCTGTAGCCCCAAACGTCACAGGTTCAATTCCCATCAGGGCACATACCTAGGTTGCAGGTTCAGTCCAGTCCAGACGAGAGGCAACTGATCGATGTTGCTCTCCCTCTCTCTCTCCCTCCTGTCCCCTCTCTCTAAAACCAATGAACATATCCTCAGGTGAGGAAAAGAAAGGAAGGAAGACAGGAAGGAAGGGAGGAAGAAAAGGAGGGAAGGGGGAGAGAGGGCGGGCTGCACATCTGTGTAGCAAATCACCTGTAGTAGCAATACTTTTCAAAGAAATAAACAGGAGCTCAAATCCAAGGCCGTATCTATGAAAAGTAGTTTAAAATCAAATATACGGATGCCAAATCAACTCTAAGATTTAAGGTTCAACCATTTTACAAAAGCAGTTAGAAAACAAGAATTTTAAGGCAACGGTACAATAGTAGATGGAAAAGCCGTGAGATCGCTCAGCCTCAGCCCAGCTTCGTGGGCTGTGCCCCACGAGTCACGTTTCCTAATCCACGGAACACACCCAGGAACAAGCATCGCGCCTGCCTTCCAGAAATTTGATTTAAACCAGTTAACCATCTTAAAGCAATCTAAAAAAGTGAATGGCGTGTGAATCCTGGGCATAACTCCGGAAAGGCATCTGACTTTGGTCAAAGAGCAGCACCGGATATTTTGAAGTATTCAGCAACAATGAGAAGGAAAGTTTTGGAACATTTAAAATCTTAAAATCTGTCATCTTTACCCTCCCATTCCCTACTCCTCACCCATTTCTTCATTTTCCTTGTCTCAGATGAAATTATTTCCCCCCAAAATCTTGTTCTTTTTCTCCAATAAATTCACTCATATTAGAATATAGTATCAACCCTCACTTCAACTCACCTCAAACCTTGAGTCCATCTGACGCTCGGCACCTGGGAGTCTACTGGAACGTGGAGTGCTTCCAGAGCGCCACCTGTCAGAATGCCTGGGCTCTCCCTGCACCTCTCCCCGAAGGGCCCCCCCCCACCCAAGCACACACTCTGGGTAAGAACAGTGTGGCTTTAAGACATCTCCTGGTATCTCCACCTCCTTCCCACCAAATTCCAGTGCCGGAGCCCCTCCATTTAGAAACTGCAGAGCCTCCACTGTTCCCCAAGTCCTCAACATAGGGGATGGCTGTGCCCTCACTGGCTCTTCACCCCCGAGGGGCACCTCCGTCCTGCGGCCATGACTCTAGGAGGCAGCTCCCCTCAGAGGACATCCGGGTTAACACTGTCAGAGTCTACCGTGGACCCACACATAGCCATTCTACTTAGTGAGCCCACAATTATATAATGTGCCCCCATCACACCCTGTAGCTGTGCGTCTACATGATTAGATTTGACACTACGTTTAGGTTTAAGGAGCAGCGACTAGTTTTGTTATTTAATAACATCGGAAATATTTCCATGTATTTTAACTGGAGAGTCTACTTAGTTTTGGGTTAAGAATATGCAGTCTGAGTTTTAAGAGACCCAAGTTTTTGCAAAATACAGAATTCTTAAGAACTCCCAAAATAAAATGAACGAACCTACTCTTTATTGTGGTGCCTTGGAAATTGTCGCTGCTTCACGATGAAGCTGAACAACTGTTTCCCAGCCACTGGCTGCCAGAAGCTCACTGTGGTGGACAATGAGTACAAACTTCGTCCTTTTCATGAGAAGTGCATGGACACAGAAGTTACTGCTGACGCTCCAGGTGAAAAATGGAAGGAGTATGTCATTCAAATCAGTGGCAGGAACAACAAACAAGGTTCCCCCATGGGGCAGCGTGTCCCATGGGTACCCCATGTCCACCAGCTGCTCAGTAAGGGGCATTTCTGCTGTAGACCAAGGAGGACAGAGAAAGCACAGATCTGTTCAGCGCTGCATCGTGGACGCCAAGCTCAGTGTTCTCAACTGGGTCATTGCAAAAAAAGGGGAGAAAGATACTCCTGGTCTCACAGATGCTAATGTGCCTCGTCACCCGGGGCTCAGAAGAGCGAGCAGAACCCACAAGTTTCTCACTCTCCATAAAGATGATGTCCACCAATACGTTGCAAGAACGCCCCTGTACCAAGATGGTAAGAAACCTAGGACCAAAGCACCCAAGATTCAGCGTCTTGTTACACCATGTGTCCTGCAATGCGGACGCCGGCCTGCAGCTCTGAAGAAACAACATACGAAGAAAAACAAGGAAGAGGCTGCAGAATGTGCTAAATTCCTGGCTAAGAGAATGAAGGAGGCCAAAGGAAAACGCCAGGAACAGATTGCCAACAGAGGCAGGCTGTTCCCTCTGGCAGCTTCCACCTCTAAGTCTGAGCCCGGTCAAAAGTGAGGTGTCCCAAAAATAACAAATAAGAACAAACATCAAAAAAAAATCAACCCATTTCAACCTTTTAAAACTCCATCTGCCAGACAGTAATCTTTAAATGACATAAAGTTGCAGACATCAAAGAACAGGTGCTGCTCCTCAAAAACGGGGCAAATCAGGCACAAAACTACCGAACTTCAGAGAAATCATTTACCCCACGGGTCCTGAAAACACAGTCCTCCGACCAGCAACAGCAGCATGCGGCATCACCTGGAAACTTGTGAGAAGTGCAGATTACCAGCTCCCCCCCCCACCCCACCCCAAGACCTTTGAGTCAGAAACTCCGGGTGGGAGTCCAGCAATCGGGTGTTAGCAAGCGCTCAGTGACTCTAACACACACAGAAGCCTGAGAACCACTCCTCCGACCCAACCACTCCACCGACGAGAAAGAGATGCAGCCAGCAACTTCCCTCAATGCTTGTCAGGTTAGTGACCGAGGTCACTAGCGAGTTCCCAATAAACTTTCAAAATGACTCTTACGCCAGTATCTGAACCCGAGCAGCCCAACAGGATCTTCTAGGCTGAAGAGATCTACACTGCAGTGTGAATTCTCCTATCACTGCTATACAGTCAGAGACACATACAATTTTTTATGAGTAATTTACATTTAATATCTAAAAAGAGACTTCACATTACTGGCCTCAAAGCAACAACTCAAATCCCCCAGGCTTATTTATTTGTTTGGTTAGTTGGGTGAACTACCATTGCTATTAGCAGTGGTGGGTTTTGTCTTGTTATGGTTGCGTTCTTTTGTTTTGTTCTGGTTCGGTTTTGAGGGCAGCGGCAGCCCTTTAGAGAGCACATGTTTTTGATAGCCTGTTCTTGGTTTGTGGGCTTCTCCCCGACCAAAAGGTTCACACCGAAGGTGTTTGAAGAGCAGTCATAAAGAACTAAGAGGCCAGAAATTGCTAAAAGAGAAAGTAAAAGAGCAATCATAAAGCACGGAGAGGCCAGAAATTGCCAAAAGAGAAAGTAACATCTCCCCCACCCCCCAAAAAGAAAACTACGCATTTTTTTACCTTGGAATACATAGTACCATATTTTTTAAACAACAGATGTATATTTTCATCTATGTTTTACTTACTGTAGAATAAAATTAATTTTCATCTGTGGAACACTGACGGCAGAATGATAGGAAGCCAGCCTGTGTCCCGGGCACAAGGACAGGCCCGGGATCCAGCCACACAGAGCACCACGAGGTGCGTCAGCCTGCTGCACAGCACGGGAGCAGAGTGGGCATCAGCCCCTTCACGGGCTGGACCCCAGGCTGGGCTGTGCCATCCACCCGCCGCCGACACGGCATTGACCACATGAAACAAAGTCTGCGCTTTTCAGCCTCAGGGCCCTCGTTCTGAACAGGTGCTGGATGCATCTCAGGCCTTTTTATACAAACATTTCTCAGTCCAGTGGCGGTTATCTGCGCAGCTAAACATCTGTTTCTATTTACATCTCACATATCCTCTTCGAGTAGTTTATAACTTGGGTGTCGGCATCACCACAGACGGAGACTTCGAGGTTTAAGAAATAAATGTTTCCAGTCCTGTTTCTCATACTGACGCTGTTTTCTCAACGCCACGGCATACTGAAGGTATTTCCAGTCCTCTTTTCAGACTCCATTAACGTGTGTAAGTTACCTTTGACTTTACAAACCCAACTCTCTAACTAACCGAGTTCAGCACCTGATTTTATCTCTCTGAAGACGACTCATGATCAAGTGCACAACACGACAGAGACGACTACTCATCTGATTTACACTTCCAGCACTCTCCGGAGGACCTGAGCACCGAATCTTCTTGGGACTTTATTTTTCAATCCATCATCAAATACAGTGAAAAATATCATCCAGTAACACCTGGGAATGGGAAGCATCGTGTTAAGCCCTAAAAAATGATTCAAGATTTTTCTTTTAAAGGCAGAACACCTTAGCCTAAGTGTTTACCTGTCAAACACCAGACCTAACGTAAACAAATCATCTGTAACTGCCCCATCCGATATAGTAGCTACTAACCACTTGCATGTATTTACATTTAAACCAATGAGAAATACATTTCCTACCAACACAAACCAACCTTCAAGTGTTCCACAGCCTCCAGTGGCTAGTGACCATCACTGCTACGTCATTAAAAATGTGTCATTATAACCATTCTTCTGTCATCTGAGACAACTCTACAGGACAGTGCTGCCTCGAAAATGCCTCTGGTAACACTAAATCTGAAAGCTACAGTGCAATGGAATATGATGGAGCACCTGCAACTGGCTATGGCGCGTAAAAGTACGTCTTTCAGTAATGCTGTGCCATTTCCTCCCTCCAAAATAAACTGAAAAGTGATCATGCTGAGCTTCTCTCCCAGTGCACGCAAGTAACCAAGAAAAGTCATTCTGGCCGACTGGTCAGCTGAGAACGAAACTAGGAAACAAGTGCAAAACCGGTTTCGCCCCGTCCTTCCTCTTCCTTTCCTGAGAACTCGCTGGCAGTATTTTGTGTTGTCTGTGCAAGGATGTGTTTTAGCCTCGTAACTGGCAGCAGAGCTGGCGAGGACAGGTAAGAGTGAAGATGGGTGACACAGGCAAACACCAACAATGCAACTCAAATTCAATTCGGACTGACGCAATAAGCTTAAGTGTCTACTGTATGCCAGTAACACAGAGTAAATAAAATAATCACCATTCGCACCTTTCACAAGCTCAACTTAGGAGGGGTGTCTAACACGGGAACAAAACCAGTGTGATATGTTGTGACACAGGCAATGAGGCACGCACGTGCAAGGTGTAGAGGAGACACGGGGAGGGTATTTTAAAAATGTTCTCTAAGAGGAAACCGGGGGAAATTTCCCGAAGGAGGTACACAAGAAGCAGAAAAGAAACCTAGGCAGAGCTGTGCAGAGGAACCACAAGCAATCTGGCAACTGCTGGAGAAAAGTGTCTTTGGTGGTCGATGGGGAGAACGGGATGAGGGCCGCAAGGCTGCAGAGCTAGCTACCTCCACGGCAGACTCCAACATGACATTACTCAGGATTACGTCAAACTTGCCTCCGTAGGTCTGTAAACATTCCTTACCAAAACTGCAAGCGACATGAAAACCAATCCCTACAACTTGATAAGTAATATGCTTAGCCTGCCATACAACTCATAATATCAGATAGCAATCACTAGCAGGGACACCAAGACATTTCTTTGTGACACAGTACCATTTAGTAATACATATTTAATAATTAAAAAACATTTTCATCAAACCCTCCACTGCCAGGGAAATACCCGTATTTCCTGTGAGTTTTATTTGGAATATCCCCAGAAAATATATTACTGAACACATTTTCAAAACAAATGGATTACCTCGTATTTAAATATTCCCCCTGAGAGTTTATCTGACCAGGAGAGAAATGAAATAAATCAAAGGGAGAAGGGGCTGGAGAAGCTTTGCTTCTGTACTACAGACCAAAATGGTTGTTTTCCTCCAAAACTGACATGGCCGAATGTACGCTACTCTGTACACTGCCTGGTTCTTTCTGGGACATCCAGCCTGCGACCACCAAAACTGTGTCGTGCCCAGCAACGTGAAGGACTTCTGTGTCTGCCCACATAAATCCTCAGAAAACACCTGCCTCTTCTGGACTCTCAACCCTGCACTTCACAGGTATGTTCAAGTCTCAAAAACAAAACAAAAAAACACCCATAGAGCGTGTTTTCTTCACATTACTGGGGTCCCCTCGCTCTCCTCTTTAAAAAAAAAACACTCCTTGAAATGTTTGTAGTCTATAGGCCTTAACAGATTCACCCAGTGATTCTCCTTGCTTTAACACAAGCAAAACTTTCCAGATAAAAATACATAACATACAAATACATCTACATAAACTCTCTGGCCCATAGGCAAACATATAATTAGTCCTTGTCACACAAACAGGTGGTTCTTAAGTAAAGGCATGTTTTTAATGCAGTATATATAATGGTTGGTTGAATATGAGTTCGGGAGTCAGCCTACCTGGGTACAAGTTAGAGACCGTCACTGACCATTTTAACTTCGGGAGCTTCGATCTGCCCAACTGTAAAAGGGGGAAACAATGTTACAGCAAGTACATATATACGTGTTTGCGCAGTCACAATGCCCGCACTTGCTAACCCCACATAGGGGCTGATCAATACGTGCTAGCCATTTTTACCATTTCATCCCTAAAGATGGATGGTTTCACAACTAACTATTCCATCAAGCTAGCCACCTCTGTAAATTGTCACTCCTCGTGCATCACAAGCACTTACGGAATTGTTTTTGTTGTTGTTGCTGTTTTTAAGGCAGGACGTCCAAGCCCTACTTGGATTTGGGTTCAATTGGTCCTGAATTGGGTGGGGCACCGCAGTCCTTTCAAAGCTCTCGAGTTGTTTATAACGTGCAGCCAAAACCAAGAACTACGTATAGGTCTCTATAAGCCCAGAGATACACACAAGGGTCAAGTCTGCTTAATTTCTTCTGACCGAAGCAGCGCGCAGGCAGCCCCCCAACCCGGATGGACAAGGCTCACCTAGCTGCTGCGACCACGAACTCAAGAGTGCGGCGGGATTTACACCCACGTCCGAATACTGCTCACGGAGGCTCAACTTGACCTCAGGCGCAATCGCGATCTGTCTGCGGCACACGCCCCCTCGCCCCTTCCCCCGCAGCCTCCCCGGACGCCAGGCCCTCGGGACCGTGCGTCACCGCGCCCTCCCCTCCCGCCCACGGCACGTGACTCGACACGCGCCAGCTGCACGCGGACTCCAACAAAACAAAAACAGAGGAGGCCTGGCAGCGGGGCGGCGGCAGCGGCGGTGGGGCGCGCGGGGGTGGCGGGGAACGGGCGCGCCCCCGCCGCCACTGCCCGGCGCCGCGGCCGCGCCTCGGGCGCCGCCGGCCGCGCGCCCGGGCAAACCAGGGGCGTGAGGGCAGAGGGCGCCACCCTGTTTACAGCCCTTGCTCCGGGCAGTCCCGCCCGGAAACGGTCTCCCGGGAGAGGGCCGGAGTGCGCACCCACCCGCGGACCAGGACGCTGCTCGGAATAAAACCTTCGCCACAGCTCTGGGGTCGGGCTCGCGCGAGCCCGCGCTCCCTCTCAGCCCACCGCCCACGGCGGCTCGGTGTCAGCCCCCGTCACGACTCTGCTACGCACTTCACCCTCCTGTCTCAGCTCCAGCGCTTCCGCAGACCACCCTCACGTGGCCGCCTCCTCCCACGGCACTCCCCCGCCCGAAGGGCTGCGGACCCTCACGCACCTCGGGACCCCGAGTCCGCTCCCACCCCGTGGGATGCCACCCCTTTGGAACCACCCAGCCCACCTCTCTCGACCGGGTGGAGGGGGCATGCCTACGAAGCTGTCAGAAGCCTAGCTTTCCACATGACGAAGCTCACTTCACCCTTAAACATCCCCACTCACCCTTCAGCCTAGCTTCCAGCTACATCAGATACTTAAACCGGGGTAGGAGCAGGGTGGGAACGTACTGAATTGTCTCCTTAATTCGCCAAGACACGAGACGCAGTTCTGCCCTTGCACTTGCCTTCCGACTTCCCCCCTCGTCCCACCCAATGCAATTTACAAATAGAAATGCCCACCCACCACACACCTGCTACTCCACCTGCCCTCTGGACACCTGGAGAACCACCCAGCCCGCCCGCAGGAGCCCGAGCCCCGCCGAGGTGGGAGCTATACCGTCCGGCTCCCCAAATGAAAGAGGGAGTGAGAGGGGACAGGTCCCCCCCGCCAACCCCGCCCCGCCCGGGAGCGCAGTCCTCCCGTCCCGCAGCTCCAGAGCAAAGCGAGGCATCCTCCGTCCCTCCTAGCGAAAGGAGTAGCCGGAGGCCGGGAGCGGGGTGCTTCTCCCTTTAAGAACCCAGGCGCCGCGTCCTCTGTAAGCACCCCCCACCCCCGAGCGCGCGCCGCCTTATTTCTGGTAGACAGCAAGGTGGGGTTGGTGGGAGAAGCGAGCGACTGCTCTCGAGGTTCGCGATGTTGGTCTCCGCGGAGTGAAGAGGTGGGATCTCGAAATGGAAACAGCCTCCCTCCCTCCCCTCCTCCTCTTCTTCTGTTTACCTCAAGTTTGAATTTTATCTGCGCAACATTAGCTGGAATGCGGACATTGAAAAAAAAACACTCTCAACCCGGCAGCAGCTCCGGAGGAGCCATGTGGCATCTAGCCACCTCAAAGGGGAGAAAAGTGCTCTCAGCAACACAAACATGGCGAAATCGCCCCGGCATTCCCGGGGAACGCTACGACCCCTACCTTCCCTCGCCCGGCTCCCGAGCGACCGGCCGTGGCCCGCGGCCCCCGCCCGAGGGGCGGCAGGGGGCCCCGGGGAGCCCGAGGGTGGAACCTTGGGGCGTGCGAAAGAGGAAATAACAGAGTCCGCAGTGGAAATGTTTCTGCTGGACCACCGGACCCATCCTCCTCGCCGGCAGCGAGCGGACGCCTCGTTCCCCACGAGAGGTCTAAGCGGAGAGCAAAATTCCCATCCCCAAGTCCTGCCGTGGGCCGGGCTTTCCCCACCCTTCAGAACTTACCTTTGGGGCTGAGCCCACGCTACTGCTTAAATCCCTTTCTCTTTCCTTCCTCCAGAGCGAGACGCAAGGGGGAAAACGATGCGCATGTACATTTGTAGAGCATGTTCTTCTAGAATTTCCCTTTGCTTATCACAGGGAGCGATGAAGGCTCCGGAGACAGGTGCAGTGCTGGCCGAGGCTGCCGGCTAAAAGTTGTTCTCTCCGCGGTGGGCGGCGGGGTCCCCAGGCCGGGGCTGAGGACCCGCTCTCCCTGCGCGCCCCCCGCCCCTACTGGCGTCGCCCCCTTCTCGCGGGCTGCTGCTGCTGCGCGCGGCTCGGCTGCAGGGGAGGTGGCGTAGTTTCTCTTCCTCCCACCTCTTCTCACTCACTTGTTTTCGTAGCCTGGGCTCCCCTAATGCTTTCCTCTCCACAACGTTGTTTCATTATATCATGTCCATCATGTGACACCGGAGAGGCTTCTCTATGGAAACTTAAAGGGGCTCCCACGTGACTGCAGCAGCAGCGGCAACAACAGCAGCAGGACTGGCGGCGGAGGACGCGGCGTTTGTACCACCACCCACCGAGAGCCCCTCGCAGCATCCCGGAGAGGCTTCTGGCGCTGCCGAAGTCCAGATAAAGCAGCCAGGGCATCCGGGAGCTGTGGCGTCTGTGCGTGCGCGCAGCCTTTGCTCATTGCATAGGATACCGAACAGAAGGAGCGTCCTTAAATCCTTTTCCACAGTCACAAAACCCACGCTCTGTTAAAATGACATTTCGTGGCTCCGACTTTATTTTCCAGTAGAGCAATGAGTTCTCTATTAGGTCTGATTAAATGCTACCAAATCAAACAGAAAAGCCGGATTTGTACCTGTGTAAGTTTAGCCAGCTCTTGGGTAGAAGAACAGAAATGACAAAACAATAATAACAGAAATAGAATCAGGCATCGGATACATAATTACCATCACCACCAGCTTTAAAGCTTTCTGGAACTACATTCCTCTGGTAACTGTGGATGATGCTTGCAGGAGGCAAAATGCGATGCAGTTTTTCTCTTCTGCAGCTATATTAGGGCTTTGTTGCTGACAACAGTGAAAACTTGTTTGTGTCAGGAAGTGAGGTACGAAGATATGACCTGGAAGGTACAGACAAAACCAAAGTGGCAGTTTTTTCATTACTTTCTGACCACATTCTTTGAAATGGTGAGAAGCAGCTGGTCTGCTGTAAAATGCCATAGAGTATGGTTGGTAGGAAATAGAATAATCACAAAAACATATTTTCCCTTAATCATACTTCACATGCTAGACACTAGAAATTATAGGGGTGTGTGTATGTAGAAAGAGAGGAAAGCATGTGCATTTTTGCCAATAAGTTTGTCATCACTCCTAACATTTAGCAAACACTTTGAAAGACTTATTCAAGTCCAGCGATGTGCAGACACTGTAACATCAGTTTTTTGAGCTTCTTCAGTATCATTGACTCACAGCCCCTTTGTAGGCTGGTGGCTATAACTCAAATCTCTGCCTTAAAGTTTGTGTGGACCACGGAGACTTTATCCTGTAAATCTAAGTTGAATAACTATTTCTATGCTTCAGTTCATGCTTTTCCATTTATAAGGAAAACTCCCTGCTTGGATTGGCAGAATTGTCTAAAACTTCGCAGACAAGTGAAGACTGGGGTGGAAGATCATCCTTTCTCTTGGCTTTGCCTTCACTGTGTCCCTTCCCACCTGGTCAGCCGTGATGAATGAGCTCCACTACATCCCTTCCAATAACTCCATAATACATCCCCCAATTTTTACCTTCCTATCCAATGAGTAATTCTCCCATCCCTCTCCCCTTTTCTGCTCTTGCCCCCCAACTCAGCCCCCGTGTTGCTTAAGTGCTCAGCTCAGGGCCCCCCCCCCAAAAAAAAACTCCCTCCCAGTCCTCTTTCCCCTGCAGTTCCCCCCACTCCACCGCCCCCCACCCCTTCCAGCCGGGTCTCCCTTCTCGGCAGCTCTACCCCCTTACCTCTCTTTGACCTCCTTTATTTCCTTCACAGCCTGGCCCTTGACTTCTCGGCCTCTTCTTCCCCTTCTTTACCTGCAATACCCTGTCCCTACTGGGGTCTCCTTCACACCCTTCTCTCCGGTCCCATCTCTTCTGACGCCAAACCCAGCATTCCTCAACTGCTCGGCCTGGTCGGCTTTAGCCAGAGTTTGTGCCCGTGCCCCAGGGCGGGGAAAGGAGTGTGTGGTGCAAAGTGGGGGCAAGAACCCCCCTTCAGCGGCGGCCCCCTGCCTCGCCTCCCCCCGCCCCTCCTGAGCCCGGGTGGCGGCGCTTCCTGGGCGGATGGTTGGGACTTGCTGCAGCAGCTGCGGTTCTGCTGTGTCATGCAAGAAGGAGGGCGGCCGGAGCTGGAGGGGGAGGAGGGGAGGAACCTGATCTCTCCGGTAGCGAAGGGCTGGAGGCAAACACCGAGCTCCCCCAGAGCCGCCCGGGAGCAGGGAGGGCTCCGCTACCCCGGGGGGCCCTCCCCGCGGGGCAGATGGTAAGTGGGGCGGCGCAGGTGGTCGCCTTGGGAAGGGAGCGCGCAGGGGGGTTAGGTGGGGAGGTGGGGAGAACCAGGAGTCACTGGGGCCAAACTGAAGGATCCCAGTGTCCAGCTGAAAGGAACCCAGGCCATAATAAGGATGACCAGAAAAACGCAGCAATAATTACCCTTCGAATAACGGCCCGCAGCTGACTCAGGCTACACAGAAGAGTTGTGCATCCTGAACCCAAGACAGACCTAGAGGCAATCATTCGGGGTCTGAGACCCATCATCCCACCAGCCCTGGCTTTTTAGGGTAAAGCTGGGTAACAAAACTCAACATATACCATAGCAATTCCTCTAGCCTGGCTGAGCTTTATGAGTTGTCTTGTTTAAAACTAGGGAAGGGTATGGAAACCTGCCCAGCCTCACTTTAGCCATGAAAATAATGCTCTTGGCCAGGGCCCTCAGACAAACAGCCACTGGTGCAATTAAACAATCAATAGGAAAAACAGCTTCATTCCCCTCACCATCCTCCTTCAACCAGGGTAATTTATTCTGCTTAAAGGAGAAAGACTGTGCACGTCTATTCCCTCCCCTACACCCTCATCACCCAACACAGACTGTGCACCCCGCTGTTCACCCCACTGTCCGACCGTGATTCATGTTGCATGAGGGGACTGCTCCGGACTCTGAGCAGTTTCACCTCCGCTGCCCTTTACCACGGGGGACTCAGAAACACAGAGCGAACTGAGAGCAGTGAACGCAGGGACAGGCTGGGCACATCCGAACATTACTTACTTTGCCTGAGTGCAATTCTCAGGGAAACCTTTCTGTTACTTGTATTATTCCTTTTCATTTCACTCCTGGAAATTTCAAAGGACTTTCTAAAGTATATCTTTTTTTTTTAATGTCAGTCATATGTTTGGAAAAGGAAAGGGTTGGTGGGATTAACAGAAAGGCTAATGACTGTCTCAAAAGCACATGCTGTTGCTAGGGAACTCAGGCTCATCTGCTTTCTAATCATTAGCATGTTCCGTGGAAGTCAAACTTCTCAGGGTGTATTAAAATGAATGGCATTTGGTTAAAAGTGTTCTTGCTTGTGTTGTAGCCTCCTGGATTATTATTGATTGCCTCACACCCACACATCTTGTTTTCCTAATTCGATTTCTGTATGTGCGTCACTGCTAGGGACACGCAGACCAGACCAGTCAGGTTCACTTCCTGTTTCTCAGAACTAGTTTATATTTGGTCTCGTAGCACTAGCTGGTAAAACATTATCACACTGATCCTCTTGGAAAGAAATCTGCTTTCAGTGAAAACATGTTAGCCCAATTAAATACTAATTCCCATGGAAAACGGCATCATTTGAGGAATAAAGTAGCCTGACAGTTGCCATTCGAGAAAAAAAATCGTCCTTGAAATATAAAGCCTAGAAAAACCCAGCATCTTTATTATCTTTTGCCCCAAATCTTCATTCTTCAGCAGTGGAAACTAAACAAACTGAAGTAAAGAAATTTAAGGATGATATTTCTAAAATGAAGCTCAAAAAATACACATTGAAGCTGGGGAAATCTTTTAGACCAAATAAGGCACAGAATTGGATGGCATCCAGGCCCCAGGAGCACAAATAAGCTTGAGCTAGCATCGGGGCGCTCGAGAACAGTGTGATCACAGGGTGCACTACAGATAGGAGCCCATCACTCTGAGTACTAATTGTCTCTTTTACCCATGCCCTATGTCCCTTGTTCTTTTTTTCTCAGTTCCTTCCTCTTTATAACAAGGATATCACAAAGGCAATATCATAAAGATAAGCATTATGTAAACAGTTCAGTGGGTTCTGATGTAGATCATTTGTTTAGGTGAAAAAAATAGAGTGTATATGGCATTGAGGAAAAGTCAGCTGACTGAAAGTTAGGAAATTTGCTCCCACTTCTACTGACCTATGACCTTGGACAAGCCAGTCCAGGTCTTCTCCTGGCAGTTTCCTCATAGAAGCTCAACAACAGTGCTGGACGGACTAAAAGATGTCCACGCTTCCGTTTACCAGACTCTGTGATTAGATTGAACTCACTACATAAAAATTTCAGTTTTAGTTGGATTTTGCGATGTTAAATTTTGACACTGAAACTTTAATATCTACCCATAGAGACCTTGGAGGAAATTGAAATGGGAAATGATTTGCTGTTGATGCATCATTTTTTAGTGTCAATTGCCAGACAATCCAATGACATTGAACTTACTCTCAATGTACTTGCTCTCTGCTTATGTGGTGGTGTTGTAGAAGCAACAGAAAGGATATAAAATTGTATAGAGAGAGCTTTCAGTCATTTCAGATTTAGTTAACCCAAAATACTTTTACAAGCAAAACAATGGGATGATGAAGAAGGGCTACATAAGAAATAATCAATAGAATCCTCCTGGAGCTAATAATCTATTTACCGGTATTTTCACTAGGGATAGGCAAAAATATACCTAGCACAGATTTTTGAAATTTTCAGATTCACAATATTAAGAAGTAGCATAAACAAATGTGCGATTTGTGCCAGAGAGAAAAGACCTGACTTTGAAACCCAACTCTGCCACCGTATTTATTCATTATTGAGTGCCTGCTCGGAGTCAGGTGCTGTGCTAGGCACTGGAAATACCAAGATGAACAAGACAGTCTGCTCCAAAGGCCCTGACAGTATAATGGCGAGACAGATGAGTGCGGAGTTGGGCACACAACAGTCAGATGATGCCGACAAGAGAGATCACTGGAGGGGTACCAAATCATGACTTCCATGTAAGGGTCCCAAACCATAGAAGGTGAATTTGGAAAGGCATTCTGAAAGATAAGTAGAAGTAATCCAGACAAATGGGCAAGTTAAAGAGAAATGTATTCCAGGCAAAGAAAGTACTATGTGTAAAGTCCTGGAGGTAAACATGTATACCCACAGAGGTGAGAGGGAAGAACCATGCCCAGTGAAGTAGTAGATTCTCAGTAAATACATTGTATGAATGCATGCCAGAAGTACTGAAGGATCCACCCAGAAATATCAGCAAGGTCTTGTATGTGGAAGAATTTTCCATTTATTGTAAGGCCAGTGGAGGACCACTGGTGAATTTTAAGAAGTCTGTCCATTTTAGAAAGATCACTGCAGTTTGGGGAATTTGTTAGTGTGAGTAACACTATAGGCGGGGAGACTAGCTAGGAGATCAGCACTGTAGGAAAGAAATGATGGACATCTAAACTGAGGCAGCAAGAATGTAAATAGAGAAGAAGGATTCGAAAACGTATTTAAGATACAGAACCAACTGAATGTTGTTATTGATTATATCTGCAGGATTGGGAATAGAAGGAGATTTGTGACTAGGTAAATGGGAGGATAGTGGTACCGTGTGCCGAGATGGGGACTTTAGGAGGAAGTGTAGGTTGAGAAGGGAAGGTGATTAGTTTAATTTGAAACATGTTGAGTTTGAAGTGTCCACGGGACATCAAAATGAAGCTTTCTGTGACCTAATTGAACAGGGTAGTCTAGAACTCAGAAGGGGGATCTGTGCTAGAACCATCAGAATGTGATGGTTTATGGAAGCAGATGAAACCCGCAACAGAAAAAGTATGGCATAAGAAGACCAGAGGACCTACTCTGGAACCTTATGAAAATGCTCACACTCAAAACGCAAGGAAACAAACCTACAGAGGAAGAATATCCAGAGCGGTAGCAGGACCAGAACAAGTAAAGCCAAGAGAAGCCAAGGAAGGGATTGTCAACAGTATTAAATGCTAGAGAAAGGTCAAGAAAAATGAGGACTGAAAGTCCTCGGACCTAGCAACAAGGAGGGCATTGTTGTGTTTGGCAAGAAGTAGTTTTTTGGTGTGGTAACCACACTGCAGTGGATTGAGGAGTAGAGGAGGTAGAAGAAGTTCTTTTGGATAAGAAGGTCTAAAGGGCAACTGGGCGGGGAGGATAAAGGTATTGGGAAAAGAATAAAATCATGGTCTGTTAAGGCTGCGTAGGGGAAGAAGGGAACAATACAGTAACACAAAATTTTTTATTCTTTGAAGCCTTCTCTTTAAAATTAAATGGCGTGACCATTCATCCAATGCTCAGGTCAAAAACAAATGAACATGCAGACATTCCTGATGCGTCTCCTTCCCTCAGTCCTCACATCCAGTCTATCAGGAATTCAGGTCAACCCTACCTCCAAAACATTTTCACAATCTGTTTCTTTCTATCTGTACCGCTACCGCCCTAACATAAGCACCATCTTCTGGGCTTCTGTAAATAGCTTTCTAATTGGTTTTCCTGCTTCCACTCTTGCTCCTGTTCTCCACAGCACAGCCAGAGTGACAGGAAGCATAAAACATAAATCAGATCTTATTGCTTCTCTTCTTGCAACCCTTCCACGTCTTCTGATTGCACTTGGAATAACTCCTTTGCTGGCCTACAGAGCCCTGGGTGGCAACCCAGACCACCTTTTCAATCTCGTCTCCCACCTCTCTCCCTTGAGTCTAATCACTCTGGCCTTTTTTCTACTCCTTAAACACATTGGATTTGCTCTTGTTTCAAAGGGCTCATCCCAGATATTTCCTCTTCCTGGAATATTCTTTTCTTCATTCTAATCTCTGTTTAAATGTCACCTCCTCAAAGAGGCCTTTGCTGACCGCCCTTACTAAAGTATCCTTCTCTGTCCACCTTCCCAACCATCCTATGTAGAACTTAATTACTATTTG